GTTTCATAAAAATATTTTCAGTACTTTTTGCGTTATCGCGGGATCCAGTTTTGTGGACGGACGGACTGACGGACTGACAGACAGACAGACAGACGGACAGACAGACGGACGGAGGGTAAACCTAAAGTCCCCTCCGGTTAAACCGGTAGGGGACTAATAAACTTTTTATACTGTATAGGGGGTATATTTTGGATATTATCATTAATATTGATAGAATTTCAAGTTCCTGTGATGAAAGGTACAATGAATTATATTGTGATATTTTCAACTTAATATTTTCCTATTCTGCTTATTAGATAATGTAAAGAAAATATTTTTCTTCATTTAGCGTATTTATAAACAAGGTAACAAACGTACACAGAAATTTCGTTAATAATTGAAAAATACTTATTTCTGTAACAATTGTGTTTATTAATACCAGTTGGAAGTCATTCTTTGGGATCAAATCAGTGAGATATGGCCCCAATGTCAATAAAACCCTAAAGGATGATCATTATCATAATTAAATAACTGGCACAAGTGACGTTATCTGATGTAATGTTATGCACCCTGTTGATTTGTGATATCACGGCCCTGTGTCGCTTAAATTGTAAATTACAACATATGCACCCTGTTGTTTGGCACAGCGTCGCTTACAGATAAAAATCTTTGTTATTAAATGAAATTATTTCTGTGACAGTAAAGATTATATTAATTTAACATATTACTCTCTTAATCACATTTGTAAAAAATTATACGTATATAATATATATATTTAGAAATTAATTACGAAGCACAGATTAACCACGTGCATTTTTTTAATTAAAATTGTGAAACTGTATGATACTAGGCAAAGTTATTTACTTGTATAATACTTTATGTTTTACTATTACTACGGTACATGTTCTTCCTTGTTAATTTGTGTCATAATCATATATATAATAAACTTTTTTATTATTTTATAAAGAATAGATTTGTAATATCAACAATATAATCTTATTTTCGCTACTGTGAATCCGAAATACTTGAAAAAAGTCATTGCCCATGGTTATCGATTTTTCAGGAACGTTTATATATAATATACATCCCTTGATCTTTGTAAGATTTCTATACCCGCATAATGAAATACAATCATTGACAGGTACGTATATTAACGTTATAAAATACGCTGGGACATAAGTTATCTTTATGCCCCAGAAATACGACAAAATCAGGCATAAATCGCGTATATCATGTAAATTATTACCTGAAACTTCTATCTTTTTTTTTACTTTTCTTAAATCTTAAATTGGTACAATTTTTCGCGAGTTTGGTTTTCTTGAAATATTTGGTTTATCAGGAGGCATGCAGCCTTAAAATGAATTATCATACTGAAACATGTGTTTATTACATGTCTGTATATGTGAAGTTTTGTAACGAAAGTTATTTAGATATATTGCCTGAACATTTGAGAAACGATTTGTAACTATAAGATTACGAACTAAGAATACAAACTGGCAGATATGCTAGAAACAGAAATACATACAATACAATAGAAATGAACGCTACTGCCAATGTTGTTCTTTAAAGCTGCATGCCTCCAGATGAGTCAAAATATTCGATAAAATCAAAAACTTGAGAAATATGTACTACGACTTTAGGAACATAAAATGGTTCAAGATTCAAGTAATATTTTACATGTTATGTGCAGTTAATGACTGATTTTTTTAATGTACAACTATATTTCTGCTGCGTTACTAACGCAGTAAGGTCTATTTATGCATATTTTGACCACTTTTGGTAATTTACATGGCTTGTAAAGTGCCATTGATAATGTATAAATGGCTTCCTTTTGGTTATTTCACAATATGAAACATTCAAAAAAACATTTTCAAAATTTTTATGAAAATTAGCATGAATCTGGAGGCGTGCTGCTTTAAGAGACTTAGAAGACGACTTTTATTTTTGATCTTATATGCCCATTTTATACAAATATTCGTAACCTTTATCTTAAAAGATATTATTTTGTTAACCCAAGTATGTACAAATTTATTGCATTGGTGCAAAGAAATAATAGAAATGAACTATGTAAATTAGCATTTTATTACAAAAATGCTTTGACTGTTAGAACTTCACTATTAAATAATGTTCAATGATAGATCAAAATTTTTTATTTTTAAAGTTTTGATATTGATTTTCTTCCTTAAATATGTTTCATCCTCAACTGAGGCTTAATAACAATCAATGCAAGTTTCATTACAATTATTGATCTCTTTATATTATTTATATCATTGATTTCTTTTACATTGATTGCACTGAAAGTACATGTTACTTTAATATTATTATGTATGTGATGATGTACTTTGTTATAATCCGAAATAAAAGTTCTGTTCTGTTTGTGTTTGTTCAAAATGAACTAGCTACTTCTACCTTACTGATATATTGATTTAGGATAACATGTATATTATCATAGAATTAATTGATTGCCAACTTGTATTGACATTCGTTATATACCCATTATTATATATATTTAAACTATGCCGCAATATGCCACTCAATGATAATTTCCCCTATATTATAATAACTTGATTTATTAGTGATGACGATAAATGGTGATGACGACGATAATGATGGTGATGATAGACACTGCTTGTCTAAAAACGATCCCGGCTTTTTATAAATGTGATCCAGCTTGGATCTCTATATATCTAATTACAATCCCGGCTTTTCTAAATGTGATATGGCCCGGGTATCTCTCTTTGTTTAATACGATCCCCGGTTTTCTGAATGTGACATTGGCAGTGGTCAAATCCCGGGATCTCTATATATCTAATACGATCCCGGCTTTTCTGAAAGTAACTTGGCAGACGGTCTTTGTCCGGTATCTCTCTTTGTTAAATACAATTCCGGCTTTTATGAATGTGACATGGCAGTGGTCAAATCCCGGGATCTCTATATATCTAATTACAATCCCGACTTTTCTAAAAATGTGATAATGGATAGATCAAAGATTATTTTTAAAAAAAAAATTGTACAAGTATCATAATGATTTAATAGAGAAAATGATAATTTGTTTGTTTTTGATTTTTTAAAGGTACAATACACTAATTTATTGATAGGAGTAAATGATTTGAACATTAACAAGTCTGATTCTGTTTGACAAGTGGAAATCACTAAAAAAATTAAAGATTTATATCTAATTAGGAAAAATCAAAAGATTTATATAAAAGATCATCTTTTTCCGTGACGAATCAAACAAAATGTATTTAAATAAAATAAAAAAAACCCGGCTTAATCTTACATTACGTAGCAATCACACTTTCATGATGTTTATGATGGACACACCAACAGTCACGTGTTCAATAAGGGGCCTCGCAGTCTTGATAACCAATTAATACACAGCGACTTCCACTGCCAGTACATGTACTTCCAAAATAAGATTTTAGGTGAGTGACATTCTGAGGTCAATTAACTCTCTCATGTGTGAAAAAAATACGTTAGCAGATTTTTTTTTCATAAACTACTACAAATCAAACTTATTCAAAAAGCTCTACAAAAACATAATAATAATAATAATAAATAATAATCTAAACTTTATTTTCCGTACAAATTGTAGTGTTTGTAGTACGGCTGTTATTAATTAAAACGTTTTCATTATTAAACATATGAAATAACCAACCAAGAAACATGTATACAGTACCGAAAATCATTCAAATACAAAATATTTTATAGCCATCAACAATAAAAAAAACATCATTAAAATTGTCAACAGGCATATGAGATAATCGATAATTTATCGTCGACACCGAGAACTGGTGGTCAATTCCCGGGATTACTATATGTTTAATACGATCCCGGCTTTTCTGTAGGCGATCCCGGGATTTTCCCCCCACCCATAATTTCTCGTGAAAACATGTGATAAAACAATTATACCTTGAATTTACAAAGGTATACTGAAACTTTCGAATCTGTACCCGCGGCTAGAAGATGGGAACTTGTTTTCTGTATTACAAAATTCAAACAAACATATGTTATATCTTCAGTAGGTATTTCAAAAATCTGGATTTTTTACCAGATTTCTATCATTTTTTAATTTTTATTTTTTTGCCGCTACCTTCTTTGAGAAGAGTTCTATAAGACCACTATTATTTCCGTTTGACAGTTGAACACCACCATAGTTTTTATAGCGTCAAGCTGGAGTCTTACATTTTTGGTAAGTAATCAAATGGACTAAATGAATTTCGACTAGACCTTTAAGCTTCTGCATATGAACTCTAATTTTTGGTTTATCTCCCGAATGAGGTGGTCTGTTAAGTTAAGTTATCCTAGATAACTAATTCTAGGTATTTTGCATTGGATATTGATTCTAGTTTGACTCTACAAAGGTGGTATAGTGTTTGAATATGATGTTGTTCTCTTTCTGTGACATGGAGAACTTGACATTTGGATGGATTAGATTCCATATTACACTCCAATTTCAGAAGGTAACTGTCTCGTTTGCAGATATCAATGCAAGTTTTATTAATCAAGGACAGTCCTAACAATAAAAACGTACTCAAATGTATTTCTGTGAACTTTATTACAACATTATCTCCTCTCAAACGGAAATTTTAAATGCACAATTTAACTGAAAAAAACTAATGTTAGATAATATCATAAAGTAATATACCTAATACATATTGAGAACTTTTGACTAGGCCACATTTGTGAGTACATTGTTTCAATCAGGGTCTTTCAAATAGAAATTTGAAAGACCCTGTTTAAGTCGATATCCCTTGTCTTAAAACACAAGCTCGAATGACGCATACTTCATGTATATTAAACAGCACACATTTTAAACATAAATTGCAGGTTTAGTTTAAAAAACATTTTTATTTGAACATTAAGAAGACACAACCGCTTCGCTCTTAGAAGCACATGATATGTGTATTTTTCTGTTTCACGTGAAGTTCTTCAACTACTTATATTACAATAAATTTCATGCTGAAAATATCACACCAGGTGAGTAGTCTTTAACTGAAATGATATAGGTAACATTTATCGCAATTATGGATCCGCTCCCTCTAAACAATATATTTCTTCTTCCGTTAAATGTTCTTTCAAAAATCCAAGAGTTTTATTCCACAATTCCTCTTGCTTTATCTCATCCCTGAAAACCAAACATTATTTGTAAAATCTTCCAAGGAAGCAATATACATAATTATGTGTATATCAAACATATATGGGTTGACGTCTTTCAAAGAAAGAGAAAACTTAGGGCTTGAGTTGATTTCGTCTAATATTTGAGATACATGTGTCTGTTAAATTAAATACAAACGCATGATTTTTTTATGTAAAGTGTGAAACATTGTAAAGTAGCCCAGCATGAACTTTTGTTTGTTTCTTTATTTAACAGCATATCAACACAGTTAAGTCATGGTGCCGAAAAAGGAAAGATGATTTTGGCCAATCCTCGGGTGTTGCAAACTTAAAGCAACACGAGGGGTCAAAACCACCTCACCTCCTGGAGCTAAGACATGCATTATACTCCAGTCATTCGAACCCACTTACCAGCTTTTTACGATCACACAGAGATTAAACGGTGGCTGTATATTCTTAATTTCATATAACTTTTTTCATCGCTTATGAGGGGTCCGTTTTAGCATTATTATGCCATATAGTTCACTGTGTTGTCACAACTATTTCAGATACAGGCCGAAACACTATTTTTACCTTGACACTGAGGTTGTTGATGCCGGTTGACAGTCCTTAAAATACACACCACTCATTGATTTTAATTCAGGGTTAACTGCACTGTTGATTATAGTTGTGGCACCGTAAAGTGGAGTCCGCATTAAACCTGCAAGTGTAACAGTAACAAACATACAAGAACTATATCATTGGCAGTACAACTGCTATGGTATCAAAAGAAATTTGCAATAAAAGTGATCCCTCGGAAGCATGAAAAGCAACAAAATAACAAATGTACATGAAAATAACTGACTCGGTTTAATTGAGTCTTTACATGAGAAATACTGAAAAAGTAAGATCCCTCAAGCCAACTAGCACCGGCTTGAGTGGTACTCAATTTTCAACATGTAATGTGCTGCAATTAATGATCCCGATTGACAAAAAAATAATATCTACAATATAATATCTACACAGCGCATCTAATTCTTCGAACGCTCTTTTAGTTTTATGTACATTAATATACATATGCAATAACTGTCTACAAATTTAGTTGTACATCAAAATCTGGAAAAGATCGAGGAGAAGACGGAAGCAAGGAAATATAACAATATAATACATGTATATGAAAAGAACATATTCAATTCGATCGAGTCTGTTCATGAGAGATAATATGAAATTTCAACATCCCTCACGTCCCTGACACCGATGGTATTTAATCTCTAAAACTAGCGGACTGGAATCAAACTAACTTGTAAGTACAATAACAAAGTACAGGTGAAAGGACAACAAAAATTGAACAAATCTAAAGTTTAACATTACATTACATTGTTTATTTATAAGTACGGTAATCATTACATCAGATAACTATTCTAACGCAATATCTCACAGACCATGCATTATTTTTACTTTGACATTGTGAATATACATGTTTTATTACCCACAAGACGGTTCAATTTGAGGAAAATCTGGTAGGCCGCCATGTCTTTAAATTCAGCTCCTATGTTTGTTTCTACAGTTCCAGGATGCGCACTGGTAACAGATATATTTGAGTTCCGTAACCGCCGATGAAGACAATGCATTTGCATGATCTGTAAAAATGACATTAATAAAATTACAGAAAAAGCAACAACTCTTCGAAATTATTATCATAGTTTAAACTTAACGCATGCTTCCATGCTAAAACACAGTGATAGAGTGTGTCCATAGGCTTAGCTATAGCTCCATTGACAATCAAGTTAAAGTAAGTTTTATATAACACAAATCTGTATATTCAACGTTACAATGTATATAAACCAGAAACAAATATTTACAATTACAATGTATTTGGGACCCGACCCTTTTTAATATGAATTAAATAGAATAATCTATAATTTTAGCCTTCCTGGCAAGAATTCATCACACGTGTAGAGTCAGACAAGCCAGTGATCATTGCAATATCAAAATATTCTGCTAACGTATCTATTACATGTATTGTATTGTCTAACCATCCATAACAATGAACAGTGTCATACTCGAGGTTGACTGAATATCCATTACATTTATCAAGAGAGGAAAAATCTTTATAGCACTATTCCTGTAAAGGGATAGGTTTAGTAAGTCTGTACCTGGTACAGCTTTGATCTACCATAATAATCCAAAAACCCAAACTGTGAAGGATCTCCCTTGTAGTTAATACCTTCTAGACTATATCCACATAATCTGAAAACGTTAAGGATGTTTATACATGTTTAACGTCATTTAAATAAAGCATGTTGTGCCCGATGTACTAATTTAAGGACCAATAACATACAATCTGTACGCGCAAACTGACTACCTTCACAAATGTATTGCAAAAACTAAAACCTTATTTATATTGATTTTAAAATTAACCATTTTAATACAGTTTGACTATTTTATCAACTACATTTTGTAAACAAAATATGTTTGACATAAGTTTCATTCTCATTTAATGTTCTGATGAAATCTCCAGTCTTGTTAATTGTGGGAGAATAATGTTGGATCTTGAAGATAACGAAGAAGTAAAGTTTGATTGATTAAAAGAAGCACAATAGAGAAGAACTGAACTCCTAAAGAACGTCCAAAAGAGGAAATTGAAAATGTTGCAGCATGGTTTGATTGGATCTGTTCATGGACGGTAGTGGTATTTGCAAGTCACAGTCCACGCCTCCTGGCACCGGCCTAAACAGACATGAAAATGGTGAAATTTTGAATTAAGAAACATCCGAAAAAACAAAGCTTACTTGTGAGCATCACTTGATACAAGAATTATTCTGCTTTCACTCTCATTCCCTTTCATCATAGGTAACAGCTGACTTATCATAAGAAAATGGCTGAGATAATTCACCTGAATCAAACAAACATGCCATTTCTAACAATCTGATTTAACAGCAATCAAAGCATTTGAGCTTATCAGTATTTAATTATCTCTCATAAATAATACAAGCAGGATTATCATCATAACATATTATGTAAAATAAGTTATTTTATGCTTTTGTAGAAGGCTTTATTAATTCAGAAACTTGCTTTAAAGTAAAGAAATATTAAAGAAAAAGTTAATTAAAAATTTAAAAAATGTGATTCTGAGCTACAATGGCTTTATCAATTGTGTATTGTGGTATTTGTGAAATAATAAAGCTTCTCTTACTTCTTTACTTGATCAATCGTATTCTCTGATAGTTATTGGACAATACAATTAAAACACAACTAATTCTTACTAAAGTCAGTGACGAGCGAGTAACAACGCAAATAATAAGAGGCCATTTTTCTGTAAATTGTTTACCTGCAACATATACTCGTACCCGTCATTTGTCTGTTCTGAAATAAAATGGAAGCACACATTTGTTACGAGAAACTGGAAAATATGTTGTTCACATATCTTTCATTTTGCAGAAATATAGGAATTGTATGTACATGGATAAATATAAAAAGCAACAACTACAGGATATATTATATAAGTCTCTTACGATGGAATATCAAATTATTGATGATTTATTGAAACAGCCAAAGAATATGATAAACAAGATCAACCAGGAAAGGCGGCGTTCAATGAACGCAACAGCTCACGACCCAGCAACAAGAATTAGTGGCAATGAGCCAATGAGGACCCCAAATACCCATGGCAAATGTTAAAATTGTGTGACAAGGTTTTAAAACTTTCCTACAGTTTTTTGCGAACATCTAAAATGACAATACATTCGTCTGTTAATGACTGCCTTAAAATTTAAACTAAAATGATCAAACAAATAAAGTTTCTTTCCTCTTTTCCGATTCTTCTTCGGTCCTATAGTGTTTTATATATGAAATCGTGTGATATATGGCAATGATAAAAAAAAGAATGATCAATTCTTAGCTTGAACTGGGACGAGAAGTACATGTAAAATGTTGGGCTGTAAGATAGAATGTCAATGATGTGAAATAAATTATTAGCATTACCTGGTTTAGCTTTACTTATTCCAGCATTACAAATTAACACGTGGAGTGGTCTACCAGATTCTTTATATGCTTGAACAAACTCCTTAGTGGATTGGAAAGAAGACAAATCTAGTTTCATGAAGACCAGTGATAGTTCTGCAACATCTACTAGTCCAGGAGTTCCTTTCTCTTTCTCCTCTTTATATTCTTTGTCCATTTGGCGCATTGCCTACCCGAAAGCAGAAAATAAAAAGTTGCATCAATACAACATGCTAGTCTAGGAGATTAACTTCTTCATTGTTTCCATATCAGAAACCCATTAAAGAATATTTATTTTAATTGTCCGATGAGCAAGAAATAATAATAAAAATGATTGTGCTTTGATTAAATTTATTTCATAATATTGTGTTTTTTTGCTTTGACACTAAATAGGCAAGACAATTAAACACTACCATTATTGTTCTTGACACAAAGCAGTGAAAAGCGTATGAAAATCTCTAAGTCATCTAGTCACTTTATCATAAAGCATCAAGACCATGATGAAAAAGATTCTTTTACACAACAAACTTACAAACGGTATTAAGATAATTAATAAAACTGCGCATATTTTCCAAATAACAAGTACATTGTCATGACCTTTCCTCGGAATACCTTGTAATTTGTATCTCAGATTACACAGTCGTCATATGAAAAACATGTTACCATCTGGTAGTTTTTTGTTTAAAAAATGTACCATATTTAAAAAGGCCACGCAGCTCACCGATTGTAAACAATATGTTAGAACATATAATAGCCTAAGGGAAAGGTTGTTCCAAAAGCGTCTTTCAATAGACATGCATGTATATGTGACCTTAACCAAATATTTAATATATTTAATCCAGCTCCTAAAACGCTACACTTCATATAAGAAATAAGCAGATCTGAACCATAGTCAAATTGATATGTGTAGATTTGTAAGGTTTACCTTCATTGTATCATCCTCAGATCTACATGCCATTATGACAGTCCCGCCCATCATTGCTATCCATTTTGCGACTTCATATCCAATACCTTATAATATACCAAATAATATCATTCATTCAGATAAAACAATTGGAAATCAGGATCAATTAAAATGTTATTTGTTTTTTTTTTCTCTCTAGATCTCGTGTTATGTTGTACACATTAGCCATTTTAATTGTTATGATGGGCAGCTATCTTAATTATAATATATGCTCTCTTAACTCACAAAAGCTTAATTGTTGTTTAGAATAACACAGGTGTGAACAAAAATATTACACTATAATGCATTGGTAAAAAACAGTTAGAGCATTTAAACACATAGTGCTTGTAAATAAAAGAAAATAGTTTCTTTAAAGAAGAGCATGGTAGCTTTAGACTCATGCACAATAACAGAATAACTTGGCTAAATTGTATGCATATATTGTGATGCACCGCATTTCACCGACCTTATTTACCTTCTAGTTAACCTATGCATATTTATTTTCTGTTTATACGGTTTATATGTTGTAAAAATGTTAAATACTATTGATTGTCAATGTAAATTAATGTTGAAAGCTTACCCTTACGCTAATATCGGCAATTTTACTGTTTACTAAAAACCCGGAAGTGTTTATTGTCAGCCATGTTGGTTA